CACTTATCCAGTGTGAGTGCTCCACCATTAGAACAGCACTTATACAGTGTGAGTGCTCCACCACTAGAACAGCACTTATCCAGTGTGAGTGCTCACAGCCTCATTTTATTATTATTTTGAAACTAGGTCTTGTAAGTTACTCAACTGGCCTTGAAATGCTACACAGCCAAACAGGCCTTGAACTTAGAATTTCCTGTCTGAGTGTCTGGTGAGCTGGGATTACATGTGTGTACCACCACACCTGGCCTCAAATTCTGTTGATTTTAGTGAGTGTTTCATTAGCAATTTCATTATATATAATGTTAATTATATATAATAATGGTTTTCGTTTTGACATTTTTTGTATGTATATTTAATGCATTTTTTTTAAAGATTTATTTATTTATTTATTTATTTATTTATTTATTTATTTATTTATTTATTTATTTATTTATTATGTATACAGTATTATGCCTGTATGTATGCCTGCAGGCCAGACGAGGGCACCAGATCTCATTACAGATGGGGTTGTGAGCCACCATGTGGTTGCTGGGAATTGAACTCAGGACCTTTGGAAGAACAGCCAGTGCTCTTAACCTCTGAGCCATCTCTCCAGCCCTATTTAATGCATTTTGATCATATCTCTATTACACTCTCAAATTACTTTCAGGCAAGGTTCCATCAATGACAATGTTAGCAGTGATGTACAGGAGCCTTCGCCTTAAATTATCTTGGTTACCATGCTCGTATATTTACATCTACTACCTCACTTTATTTCTCTGCAACGAGGCTGGCCTGGAAGCTTCCTGGCCAACCAGTATAGTCAACTGGTAAGCTCCACATTCAGTGAGAGGAAGACTCCCTCCACCAGCCTCTGGCCTCCACATGTGAAAACACGAATAACACACACATGCACGCGCGCGCGCACGCACACACACACACACACACACACAAAAAAAAAAAAAAAAAAAAAAAAAGCAAGCACCATAGGTCTCACCTTAAAGTAATCGTTCCTCTTCAGACTTTCAAGGAAGCCGGCCCAGAGAGGTGAGGCAGTCACAGGGGATTTCCTGGAGTCAGAGAGATGTGCGCTACATCTGGAGCACAAAATCTCAAATCCATGAGCCTAGACGACACAGACAGAATTTTTGTTACATTGTTCTTGTATTTTCTTTTTCTATCATCTTAAATTAATTTCTTCCCATTTAGCCCCAATCAAGAACTAGATGACCAGACACAATGGCATGTGAACACTTAGAACACTTTTTTGTTTTTGTGGGTTTTTTTTTTTTTCTTTCCAGACAGGGTCTCACTATGTAGCCCTGGTTGTCCTGGAACTCAGTATGCAGACAGGCTGGCCTCAAACTCAAAGACCCACTTGCCTCTGCCTCCCAAGTACTGGGATCAAGGTGTGCACCACCACATCCAGCTCAATTTTTATTTCTATCAACATGTTAAAGTATCTTTTTCCTTTATATATCTTATAAATTCTTACCAATTTAGTATATGTTCTCATACTTCTTTATACTTGCCAATCTAGTAGTGAAAAACTATTTTGTGGCTTTATATTAATCTTTAAGAACAGAGGTCAAAGTTTTTTCATTTTTAAATTAAAATTCATTTGTACTTCCTTCTCTTTGAACTATCTGTTCAACTTCTGGACATTTAAAATTAATCAGTTAGTATTCTTTTCTATAGGAACACCTAATCCTTCTCCAGATTTTCTGGTATCTTCTGATTTCATGACATTTTTCTTTTCCATGCAGAATTTCTCTTCTTCTACTTACTGTTGTCTTATTTTTATTGTTGGTTTTTTTTTTTTTTTTTGAGCTGAGGATCGAACCCAGGGCCTTGTGCTTGCTAGGCAAGCGCTCTACCACTGAGCTAAATCCCCTGTTGTCTTGTTGTTTGAGACAAGTTTTGCTGTCTGCCATCCAGGCTGCATTCTGGCTCCTGGATTCTAAATGGGACCACAGATGTACACTGCATGTGGCTAGAAATGTTTACATAATCAAATCATCAATCTCTTATTGCTTATGGTTGCAAGCCATGCTTTATAAGGCCTTTCCTAGTCAGATAATTTCCTAATTTTATGGTTTCAATTTTTACATTTAATTATTTAATTCAAATGGAATTTATTTTGCTCTAAGTGTGAAGGAACTGACTTTAATTCTCAGGCGGCTTCACAGCTGTTGGATGACTGTTTACTGAATAATTCCCTTGATGCTCTGATTTGAATTGATGAATTTTACTGTATTCTCACATAAGCAGGACTTACTTCTCGAATTCCTATGCTGTGTCATTCATTATCTCAGTGAAAATGACAAGCAAAATGGTTGGTGCAATTTAATGTTGATGAACAGTGGGAAATTATTGTCTTTAGGGATTGAATCAATTTATATCTCTATCACTAATGTTCAAGAGTGCCTTTCTTGGTGTAGGCTTTTAAAAACACTTTATTTATTATTTATATGTGGATGTGGATGTGTGCAGATGGGTATGTACATGTGAATGCAGGTTCTCACAGAGGCCTGAAGCCTGGGAACCCACGGGTTCTGGAGCCCCAAGTACCGATGCTGGCAATCAAACCCGGGTCCTCTGCAAGGGCACTGAGTACTTTTAGCCACTGAGCCATCTCTCCAGTCCTTAAAGCTCTTTTGTGTTAGAAAGAAAGGAAGGGAAGAAGGAAGGAAGAGAGGGAGGGAAGGGAGGGGAAGGAAGAGAGGGAGGGGAGGGGGAGGAGGGAGAGAGGGAAGGTGGAGGAGGAGG